TTAGGTCTGATTAACTAAATTATCATTATATATACTTTTCTTGAAGATAATGAATGGATCTAAAAGATACACCCATGTTCATGATCAGAAAATATTCATAATTCAAGTTAGAATCGTTTGAAATTGTTTGCGATAACCTACGTGCTCCTTTGGGGTATATAGGTTGGAAAATAAAAAAGTTATAGTGTCTTGAAAAAAAGTGGCGTTTTTTTGGCCCACCCTGTATTGTTGACATTTTGCCAGTAAATGATAGCGTTGAGCTGTTATCAGCTTCTGAAGATATTTTTAACAAACTATACTCGGTGGTAGAGTAGACATTTTCATAAATGATGATATTTACGTTCAGTTCATCATTGAGTGTACTACATCTCTCTGTCATTTAGACAGTTACTTTAAAGTAATCAAATAACTCCGGATCCTTGTATTTACATAATATTGCAATGTGAGAAATCACATGCCGGTAATCATGATATTGTCAATGAACTCAAACACTGTTTTTTTGTAAATATCACGGGCTACTAGAGTTTCCACGTATATGGAGTATGACCGGTTACTTATGCTACGAATATGACCTGTTTTGGAAAGTCATGAGAGGCACAGCTGCTTAAAAATGGAAAATAAAGGTTAACTTCTATATTATCCTTTTTGAAATTGCGTTTGTTGAATATAGTTGAATATGCTGTATTTAATAGTAATGTAACAAAAAAATGTTAAACATGAGCTATTCTAGCAATGTATCTGTTCATAATGGAATATCAATCAGAAAGTACAGATTTCTCGCCTTAGACCCAAATCATTAATATCACAGCAGAAAAAAAACAAATCCCAAACCTTTTTATGGCTAACCTGAACAGGATCTCCGAATCTCAGTTCATATGATCCCCCGTAGAGTGAGCAAGAGAAGGATTTACCTTTTCCCAGAGGATACGCTTGTGAAATGTCATGGAAGACAATTCACAACCGTATTCTCCAATAATGGGGCACCAGTGACACTCGTATTCTCAAAAATTCAAAGATGTATCATATTTGGACAGAGCAGGCTAAATTATTTAAAATATTCATGACTAATTCGTAGATCTAGCTTTATATTATACATAAGATGTGTCATCCTCTTCGGAGTTGCGTTGTGTTACACAAAAACTGATCAAATATGCTGGAAACTAGGATTTTACGGCTTCAATCTAATATTAATACGTTTTCTCTTGATTAAGGCCCCTTGTGATATGCCTGGCATTATAAGTATACCAAGTATCATTCATTGACCAAGTAGGATAAAAAGAAAACGTTCGAAAGTGTTCATAAAAGCAAGTACTCACCTCGTCTGTTTATAGGAACAGAAATACGGTCACACTCGTAAGCTTAGAACCGGTCATACTCAATATACGCGGATACTCTAGTAACCCGTGAATATGTCCCTTTGTAGTTATAATTTTTGTATTATTAAAATGATAGAATTTTACATGTTTGCTCTCCCTTGTGGAGGGATAAAAGATACAATACAATATAATATAATACAATACAATACAATACAATACAATACAATACAATACAATACAATACTATGATATAGCTTAGAAGCAACTGTTTTGATGTTCAGCTTTAGGACATATTGTCGTAATTTAACAGATATAACACTTTTGAAAATACTGTACGTTACTATCCTGATATTCAAAACACAGAGTATTAGCTATACGTCTATTCTGTATAAATGGATGTAAAATTACATAATACTTTTATATAATCAGTGTTCGTCTATATTTTCTAAATGATGCAGCACACGAGCCAACCACTACTATGGCAATGTTTAATACACCCCTCCCAAAAATGACGCTACATATTTCAATGAATATAAGCTGCACATCTCTTAAATGGATATAGAATTATTACATAATCATATAAAATTATCAATATTAGTATTTTTTTTATCTAATATAAGACCTTTGTTATATATATCCATGAGTATTAGATGTACATCTATCATGTTTAAATAGATATAGGATTACATAATAATTATATCTATGAATATTAGCTGTACATCTATTCTGTATAAATGGATACAGGATTACGTAATGATATTATATAGTCAGATTTGGAGTTAAACAATGCAATATCATTGGCGACAAATGCATTATACCATACACAGTGCACGCCTGTATAAAATACCACATTCAAAATGGTGAAGTTGTGTTTTAATCATTTCTCAAACATCCTGTCTTTTATTTATGAATTACTTGATGCCTCTCAAGAAATCTTTATCTTTAGTATGCGTCTTGAAATGTGATTCATGGTCAGAGATTTGGGTAAATGTCTCTAGACAAACATCTCATTTGAAATTTTTCTCTCCTGTGTGGATCTTATAATGTGATTCAAGGTTAGATTTTAGGATTTTTTTTGAACAGACGTCACAATTTAATTTTTCTCTCCAATATGTATCTTAGAATGTTTTCAAAGGGTAGATTTGTCGTTGAATGCCTATAGATAAATATAAACCTTAAAATCTCTCTCTCCATGCAGTATGGATCTTAGAATGCTATTCAAGGTTAGATTTTTGGGTAAATGTATTTAGACAAACATCATATTTGAAATTCTTCTGTCATCGTGATCATGGTCGTGATCGTTAACGTGATCGTCTCGCTTTTTGTCATCGCCATTTTGGGAAAACCGCTCATGAGATTTTCTCCAAATTCGCACACATAATAGAGGATATCAAGTTCTAGAGCTGATAAACTTTTGGGCGTCCATCTTGTTTTCTGGCGGCCATTTTGAAGGTTTTTTGAAAATCTTGTCATTGCCATTTCAAAAAAATGCTCATCGGATTTTCCCCAAATTCGCACATCTCGTATGATATTATTTCATTAACAAGATATTTTTTTAAAAACAACCAAGCTTTCCTTTGTACAATTACAATATTGAGAGACCTAAACACGTTGTGTTTATGTCGTTTTGTTCCAATGAGGTACGGATAGATGTTTCATTTCATTCCTACCCTGCCGGCGTCTGAACGGCCATCGTACGATTATCGTACGGCTGTCATAGACTTCGTACGGTCATTCTTTGATTTCAATGAACAAATTCTACTATGCGAAAAATGGGACAATTTTATTGCTTTGTTTAGTTTTATCATAGTACTATGCGATACATAGGACACTTTCATTGCTTTGTTTAATTTTTTCATAGAACTATGCGATACATAGGACAATTTCATTGCTTTGTTTAATTTTATCATAGAACTATGCGATACATAGGACAATTTCATTGCTTTGTTTAATTTTATCATAGAACTATGCGATACATAGGACAATTTCATTGCTTTGTTTAATTTTATCATAGAACTATGCGATACATAGGACAATTTCATTGCTTTGTTTAATTTTATCATAGAACTATGCGATACATAGGACAATTTCATTGCTTTGTTTAATTTTATTATAGAACTATGCGATACATAGGACAATTTTGAACGTATAATCGGTCAACGTGTTGCATGCTCTGTTGTCCGATGTATACATATAAAATGTTAAAATGACCTTTCTCAAGTTCGTTGCCATGGATATTAATCAAGTTGTGATTTTACACATTTATTGTTTGTTACCATTATATATTGCATTAATGTCAGAGTCGCCTCGAAGTACGAGTTTCCTCGAACTATTATTTCTTTCGGTGAATCAAAGGCATCTCTGATTGAAATGTTACATTGGTTTTACTTATTTAAACTATATAATAATATATAAGTAGTAAAGTGGTCTGACACTGCTACACAGCAAATAAGACATTTAGTCCCGATGTCTGCTTAATTCTGGTACAGTTGTAATTTTCATTCCATTCCGCGTCGTCTTGTGTAATAACATGACCAACTTGACGATTCATCCACAGGTCAAATTGCACCATTCAACTTTATTGCCGCTGATGCAAATACCTCTGCCGAGATGCTTTATTTACGCAAATTACGTTGAAAGAGCATGCAGAATTGTAAGTCAAATATAAATAGGAACGTAGTCAGCGATTGAGTATCATATAGAATGATTTAGAACAGGACATTTCGGTTACTTTTTCGAAAATAATCGAGACAAGTTTGATCACTTTAGACACGGAACTATTTAAACTAGACACAATTGATGACGATTAACTGCAAGTTCGTGTCTATATCGATACATGTACACAATGTGTTGTTGTTGTTTTAACAGTTAAACATTACATTATAAAATTGATAGTCTTTATAGCAATTTGCAGAAATATTTTCATATAAGTGGGTCATACAGCTTTGTCAATGACAAAGTCGTGACAGAAAGTAAGTTAATTGCCTTGTACCGAAATCGAAATTACATCATGCACGTCCGCTTTTTATTTAAAAAAAACTGAAGCAACTCAATTTCATATTTAGGCGGTCCTTTCTTTAAATTCAATGGCAAACTCGAAATAAGTAGATGGCCACTCTCAGAAAGATTCACTTTCTTAAACCTACATTAGCTCATTCGCTACGAAGGACGTGATATGACGTCATAAACCAAATACGTTGACTACTAAGGACGTGATATCACGTCCAAGTACAAACCCAATGTCTTTTTTGAATATTGTTACCATGACAACTATAAAATGGGACTTGAAAACCTATTCATTCTGAAAGAGCATATCATTTGCTTTAAAATGATACATGAATACTATATATGTATGCCCATCTATATACTATATATAGTATTTCAGAGGTACCATATATGGGAATTTTCAAAAATTCGTCAGTATTATAGTGCTTTTTGGGTTAAACATAAATCTGGTGGCTATAATTATCCATTGTCCTGTTATTGAATAGAATAAAGTTTATATCGCTAATATCAAAAATACGACGCAGTGATACATCAGAAATTAATATCAATTATCGTAAAAATGCAAATATACTCACAATAAAATAGTTTCTATATTCTATGTGGATTTTGTAATAAATATCAACATTCAATTGATTTAAAATTTGTTTATATTTCGACGTGAGTGCAATTGTGATTGGATGATACACGATTTCATAAACAGTTGCGATTCTCTTTATAAACGGTAGTTTGTCACCTAGCAGTCAAGCGGAAGCTAGATTGAAGATTATAACTGTGAAGGTAAACTAACCAGGTAAGACTTTCAAACAATGATAGTATTGCTATCACTCTTGTTGATTAGGAGAAGAATTTTCATTTTATAAAGTAATCCCATTGATATTAAATGTTTCATTTCAAATCAAATAATATCGCGCTTAAGTAAGTGAATAATATTTAATTGTAAGTTAGAATCAGGTAATATTTTTTAATCACCGACGCGATCAATTACTGGTATAAATGACAGAAAAAGTCGTGTTCGGTAAAAATGGACGAATTCATTTATTCCAATTCCCATTTACGTATTAGGGAGGTTAAGCTTGCATATAAAATCGAAACGAAAACGTATACTGTATCAATCGCCAATGTACATTACATGCTGTACGACGAAACGCACTACTTGTTTGACTGCCAACTTTATGAGGTCCATTGAAACACAAAACATTTATTCTCAAAATTTAAATGACGGATCCAGTTTTGATGATCTCGTCTTTCCAACCAACTTATTTCAACATAAGAAAGTTAATACACATTAGGACCAATTTACGATAATTGATATTTCAAAATATAGAAAATTTAAATATTCATATGGCGTTGCAGAGGAAACACATTATATTTTATCAATTCGTTAGCGGCATCATTGGAACTACTCCAAGTATATTGTCATTTCGTAACCTGAGCAATTTTCAAAGGAATTGAAAATTAACAAAGTTTCGTTAATCGTTCAATAAGCCTGGTTTAAAATCCAATAAGATATTATTTATCACATTTGTGTGTGTCAAACAAACAATAAGCATGTTTCCTTGGATAAAAGTATTGAATTGTAAAATAAATATGTAACAGAGTCAACGTTATCGTTTGAAATTATTAGCCGCAAACAATTTTGAACGGCCCGACCCCTATTAGTGGGATCAGTTAGGACAATAAAACCCTAGAATTGCACTTGCTATATATAAAGCACAATTTTTTGACAGAAGTATCATTGATACATATATCTAACGAAGTGGTATTGCAAAGTGGCCCCAGTTGATAATAGCAGCCCTCGAAGATTTTGCACATTTACATTGAGCCCCATGTTAATTTATCAATCTTCTCAAGACCCCCTGCAGAACAGTTCTAGAGTAATAAAGCCCATATTCCCAGTATATTACAATTATATGATTATCTTCAAAATAAGAGGGGTTACATTTTTTGCCTAGTTCCAAAGATATTGACGTTTGAGTTTTGGAAAATCTCCATTGGCTGCCATTATAAACCACTATGAATATGGCTTTACTAGAGTGTTAATTTCTCAAAAAGTTTACTATTGAATTTTATAATATTGCAGATTTCTATAGTTAATACATTGAATTTAGAAAAAATCAAACAGACACATTTCTATAAAATTCTTATTTTTGAAATATTTAACCATTAAGTTGCGCATGAAACTATTGAAAACCTGTGTTGAGCCCCATGTTAATTCATCAGTCTTCAAAATACCTCCTGCAGAACAGTTCTAGAGTAAAAATGCCAATATTCCTAGTATGTTACAATTATATGATTTTCTTTAAAATACAGAGGTTAATTATTTTTCTTTCGCCTAGTTCAAAAGATATTGCTGTTTGAATTTTGGAAAATCCCCATTGGCTGCCATTATAAACCGCTATCAATATGGCTTTACTAAAGTGTCCTTTTCTCAAAAAGTCAACTACGGAATTTTCTAATGTTTCAGATTTCTATAATTAATATATTGAATAAAAAAATCAAACAGACACATTTCTAAAAATTTCTTATTTTTGAAATATTTAGCTGTTAAGTTACGCATAAAACTATAGAAAACCTGTATTGAGCCCCATGTTAATTCATCAATCTTCAAAAGACCCCATGCAGAACAGTTCTAGAGTAGTAACGCCCATGTTCCTAGTATGTTACAATTATGTGATTATCTTCAAAATATGACGAGTAAATTTTTTTCTTTTGGCTCGTTCAAAAGATATTGGCGTTTGAATTTTAGAAAATCTCCATTGGCTGCCATTATAGACCGCTATCAATATGGCTTTACTAAAGTGTCATTTTCTCATAAAGTCAACTAAGGAATTTTCTAATACTGCAGATTTCAATAGTTTAATATATTGATTTGAGCGATAACTTACTGAAATACTGGCAAAATGTTTTAGGCTTATGCCATTATAGTGTGCTATGTATTTTTAAAAGGTATGTTTATTTGTGCAAATATTCTATGCTAAAACTTAAAGGTTTTATAAGTAATGTGAAGGAATATTATATTATGGATAAACGGGTTGGCACGAGGCGATAAGTGGAAAATCATGGAAGCAAAATTGAACGAATGAAACTGATGATTTTTTCCTTTAAATAAAAAAATGCCAATAGTATAACGTCTCTTAAAGACTAACGTTATCCAATACTGTATTGTGAAATGTATGTTTACCACGTTACTGTACTTTAATTGTTTTTTGCAATTGCTTTAACATGCTTTCTCTTTGAAATAAAAAAAAAAATTATAAAAAAATGTCTGCTATTTTCTGCTATTTTGGATTACTTTTTTACAATCTCATCTTCAATTTATTTCGCCCATGGATTTCTTTGGAGGAGTTCATTCCATAAATAAATACAATTGTAAGATGCACGATTTTTGCTATTTGTAATGAAATAATTATTGTACATGTTGACAGGGATTCATTTTGTCTTTTGAAACAATTAAGTATGAATAAAACAACATTTAGTTTACAAACTTGAAAGACATAAATGAAACCAATCTAGGCTTTATTGTTTATGGGTTCTGTATTATTAATTGCTGAAGTGCTATTACTTTTTTTGTGGAATTGTCCTTCAGTTCAGCTGTTGGTGTTTATTATTTATAATGTTCAATGTTCATCAGATCAAACTCCATTACATCAAGTGTAACATAACAAGTCAGTTATTCAGTTCAATCCAAGATTATATTGTATAAGAATATTTCTTCCTTTTTAAATCACTAAGTACAAGTTCATTCAATAGTCTGCTTCAGTTACCCCCCATATCACACCAAACTAGTTCTCACTCGTTCTTGCCAGTCCTACGAAAACGTCGTAAAACGGGCTCAATCTGGCTGTGGTCGGGAAATATGTCTGAAATAATTAGCTTCTTCGTTCTTAAACAGTCCTCAATACGTCCATCTCGTTCGCAGTTCGTTCAGGTCGCACCACGTCGGTGTGCAACGTAGTAGAACGCGTCACTTAGTCTAGAAGGTCAACATGACCTGATTACAGAACAGCATGGTCGGCATCGAATTTTGAATCGATTCAAAATTCTAAAATCACATTCCCGTCTGAGAACGTTCATAAAGTTCGTAAATTGACCTTAGAAAGTTGCAACTACGTTCATTCCGTTCGCACACAGTTTAAAACCAGTTTTGGAGAACGCAGTGGCAACTTGTTTGGTGTGATAGCTATATTTTTGCTAACTCGTTCATAAGCAGTGTTAAATACGTTCTTAAACAGTTTAAACCCGTTTGCAATTAGTTCTACCTCGTTCTAAACACGTCCTCAGACAGTTCAATTCGTTGTTAAAACGTCCCTAGTAGGATTGAAGTACGACGGTTCCGTTCGTAGTACGTCCAGCTCGTCGTTAGTACGTTTTCACTCGTTCTAATTGTAGAACGTGACGACCACGAGAACATTTTGAGCATTGTCTGAGTTCTAAAGGACCTACCCGTTCGAGTACGTTCGATGAAGTTTGTAAATAGATCCCAAACGGTTCTTAGTAGGTCCAGTCCGTTCGTACACAGTTGAAGCCCGTTTTCGAGAACGTAGTGAGAACTAGTTTGGTGTGATAGTAGGGTTACTTGGCTTCAATCGCTATTCACAGAACCTCCACTTCTTACAGCACCAATATTTTGTACAGAACCTGGGCCGAGAGATCTTCAGACTTCAGACCTCTCGGCCCAGACTCCAGAACCAGAATTCAGACTCTCTAAGCACTCAGACTTCTCCACAGAACTCAGAACCAGAACTAGAACTTCTTCCTCAGAACTTGAACAGAACTAACTCCAACTGTATTTATATCATATTCTAGGTTGTGCTAAATATAGCCAGCTTTAGGTTTAACCAATGAAAGCATAAGAGAGAAAAGCCAAGTTAAAGATGCAGACTTACATCAAAGTTTCATATAAGATTATATAGCATGTTACATGCAATAACATAAATAATATATCATAATTCAGCACCTTCAAAGGGTAACAATTAATATATCTATTTACTTAAAAGGGGATGCTTTGGGCGTAAGTTTCTGATATTAAGTCCTAAACATTGGGTCAAACATTGTACCGTATAGTTATTTTCAAAATATGTGATTTAAATCATTTTCAGAGCATTTACGGTGTGATGATAACATGAGTTTAGTTATCAGGGACTTATCAAGACTTATTATTACGTTTTAGTTATTCATTGTATTAAAAAAATGTATGTAATCTTGAAGAACATGTAAAGCAAAGACCGTAACAAGTTGAAAGAAACAGAATTTACACTTTAATCAAAAGCATATTTATAGCGGTGTATGATGACAGCCAATATACATTTTTCAAAATTCAAACGCCAATATCTTTGGAACTAGGCAAGAAAAAATGTTTTGACCCTTCTTATTTGAAGATAATCATGCTACTGTAACACAATAGCAATATGGCCTTATTACCCTAGAACTGTTCTGAAGGGGGTCTTTTGAAGATTGATTAAAATTAACATGGAACTTGTACTTGAAATACGAGGGGAGATTCATAAGTAGTGGGACTTTTCTGAGGCAGCAAGTCCCTGTGTACATATCTCAACCAAATTTGGCACATGGACGAACTAGGATATAGGGTATTGTTTGGTGAAATTTCAATTTAATTCATTTTGTTTCCTAGCAACAATGGTTGCTATGGTAACCAAAAGTAGGGGTTAATGGAGCACTTAAAAAATGAAGGGCTTGATCGACATAAATATGCTCATGAATACCTCAAAATGACAGTTATTTTCAAATATTTGGTGTCATATTGTCTCAAGCCTTGTAGTCATGACAACTGTAACATATAGTACATCATCATGCTATTGTGATGTCACACAAAGCAGTGACACCAGGACACTGCCATTTTCAGTCTTTCTTGGATGGAGCAATATATGATTAAAATAGCAATGGAAAAGCAAGAATCATGTATAAACATCCGTGCTGTGATTAAATTTAAGTTGGGTGGAACTTTTTGAAATTTTCACACAATGATTATCACATGTTTGTGGTTCTGTGTTCCAAGTTTGCTGGTTGATGTAAGTGAAGTTATAGCATTTGTCCCACTACTTATGAATCCCCCCTCGTCCATACCAAATATTCCATTCTATTGAGGTGAATATATGTTTATCTTTCCCTCAGTATATTTCCCGCAGCCCGAAGGTCAAGGGAAATATACCTGAGGGAAAGATGAACATGTATTCACCGAAAATAGAATGGAATATTTGATTTATTATATCATTTGAATGTTCTACAAATTAAGTGTATTTCTTTTAACCATTTAATACATAGATTAAATACATGTGCTCATCAGAATAACCACTCCACTACAGCCACTCTTAGATGCAATATATTGCCATCTTTCATCCTCAAAAATCACACGTGTGACATCACTGGTTTATAAACATCAAGAACATGGCAACGGATGCACAATTGCTAAGAGTACCCATGCTCAAACTACAAATATAAGCTGTGACGTCATAGCAATGAAGTTTTGTTGCAGTGCGTATCCAAGTATTTTTTACAATATTGTTGTGACGTCATAACAAAAACATAACATCCGGGACTTTCTACCGTGGTATATACTCCATGGTATATACATCGTGGTATATACAATTGAAAACGAGGCTGCGGCTGGAGACTGCAGGAAACAATGAAATACACCCTAATATTTTTAATCATGTGATTGGTTTTTATCCAATGAGAAAGCGAGGAACATTTCAATGATATAATTAATGATTATAGTAACTGATAATTCAATATTGTACTTCTAATACCTAAATGATAAGAGATATATAACGATTCCTAATGACATAAGACTTTCTTTAATACGTTACGCGATAAAATTTTTGATGAAATTGTGATTTAATTGTAATTTCGACATAATCATAAAATTATATTTCGTCGGAACAATTGATGTTCTTTACACCTCAAGAAAATGTAAAGAAGTCGGGACATCATGTTGTGCAACAAATGTTGCACAGATAGTAAATTTACTGCAGCATTCGTTTTGAACTCGTGCATATTTGTGAATATATTAAAGATGTGTTCGACTGCAAGAATGTTATTATATTGAAATGTAATCTGAACTATTGCATTCAATATTTTGATTTAATTTCAGAACAATGATGTTGACATATCTAGCAGTATTGGCTGCCCTTGTTATCGGCATCCAAGCTGGAGCACGGGGTAGATCTGATTATGACCCATATATACCCCAGGGTGAGGTTTACACTGGACCATGTGAGGGAGGGTACAAAACATACAATAGGAGAGATTGTGCAGATTCGTACAGGGAACTTATAAGAGAAAACGCCTATCCTGGTAAATGGAAAAAATGAGAAATAAAAATATGCAACGCCTTTTGAAATACATGTATCATAACATATTTTTCAAATGTGAATCCTAATCACTGAACTTTGAATCTTTGAATTAACTGATCTTCCATGGCTGCATTTTTGAACTGCTCGAGGTGCAGTTTGCTTGCGCAGCACTTTATGAGCCTTCCATGTATCACGAAAAGGATCCTTGGACCTTGCAGTGCAAATTGCAAGATCACATGTTTTCAACAACTAAAAACGGCTCATCCAAGCGCACTTACACTTACTTACATAATTCTTTTGAAACACATAACAGTTTAAAGAGATGTTATTGAGATTTCTCTGTGGCATTTTTACACCATAACATTAACTAACTATTAATCAATATGCAACTTTTCACCACGTAGAATTTTAAAAAATTAAGTTTGAAAATTCCATTTTTATAATGGAGCTCAATGGGAAAAACGACATAATTTGAATTATTTTCAAACGTAGTGGCGCGATTTTCTTGAAATTGACAGATATAATAAATATTGGTAAGACGAAATGTTTGAAGAAAAATTTACCGTCCTGGTTACGCAAAATATGGAAAAATGTGAAATAATCATAAAAACCTGTAAAAATAGATTGAAGGGGGTGGTATTCATTTTTAATGTGCCTTTCACTACTACACGGTAACCATAGTTTTGGTAATGGTTTACTAATCTTCCAGCATGTGTATCAATCACAAGTAATACAATAAGTGAGTTATCATTAATTGGAATGGTATTATTGTATTCCTAAGCAAAAAGGTAAAATCGATCATATCACATACTAGTTCTTACCATCAAATCGATCTATTATAATGCATATTAAACAATGTAGCAGTAGATCTTCAATTTCAAGAATTGAGCTAAATTGTAAGATAATAAATAAATTGCTAATCCCTTATAACTATATAATCCCCTTCTCCGAATCATACTAAATTATCAATTCAATAATGTCAATCCTCAATGCCTGTGCGGTTTTCGATCTCAGACAACCCAACACCTATTCTTTTCTTGCCCCCTTTTTACTTGATCTCAGGGAACAACTAGCACTCGACCTTGCAGTGATACCCAATTTCAAAATTAACCATTATAACAAACTAAATGCAAAAGAGAAACTAGATACATTGTTATATGGTGGCTCAACAGATAAAATTGCCAACTTTATTTCTTTAATTGTAGACTGTTGTAATGTTTAACTTTATATATTTGGTGTGAAATGTCACACGCAACTTACATGCATTGTCATGCTGAGTGTTCAGCAGCCTAAAATTACCTGATTTTTATGTGCCTACTTAACTCTATTTTAGAAATTGTATAAATGTGTATGTGTGAAAATCGACATGGGCCACTAATGCCAATGGCCTTTGCCCATTGTCGAACATTGTGAAATGATAGTATTGATAAATAAAACATAACCTATAAAAAATACTAAATTATATTCGGTATGCTTATTTTAGCTGCTGTAGTTTAGGTCACTTGATGAGATATTCAGTAACATGCTGTCACTAGAGACAAAACTTTACACTAAATAATCACTTGAAATAAACGATATGAATTCTTCATATTTTCTTCTTTGGTAATACATCCATTCTTGAAAATTAGCATTCATAGCTTTTCAATGAAATCATGAATTTAGTGATCTGACCCTTAAAATACTTTTCTGGGGGAATAGTTTGTCCACCTGTAGCCATTAGGTGTAGCATCTTTTTTAGCCATATTTCCCCAGGCTTGCTGGAATACCTATTTCAGTGTGCACGTTTAGCATTATTTTCCCATTGATAATTTGAGTTCTCGCGTCAATAACATATGGAAATAAAAATGATAAGATGTCAAAAAGAGTAGTTAATATTTTATTGTAAAAAATCAAAAATAAAACAAGGTTTGGTCAGGAAGGGAACAGGTGAAATCCTTGGGATATATGAATTAATTAATTATGAGAAACATATTCATGTTTCTACAATTTAGGGTAACCCTGTGTATTATTCTACTGCGCATGGTTATACCGGTGCAAAATATTACAAAAATTATATTTACTTATTATCATAATTCTATGTGACAATGTCAGTCTTATTTTCAAATTTGTCTATAATTGTTACTGCGAATTTCAAAAGCCTTGTATTTTCAGACTTATTCATTTCATGATTATGTAATACTGACCTACTTATCTGCCTAGCATATCTTTAAATAAAAAATAAAAATACAATTGGTCAGAATGTACTAAAACCTGCTTGAAACTGAAAAACATGGCATGCTCTATTCCACACAATTTGGAGGCTTTTAAAATTCGCAGTAACAATGAATAAGTGCCTGTATATAATCATTGCATAGAAAACACGTCATGTAGTTTTTATCAGATGTATTGAGTTGACCAAAATACTCCTTTGTTTACTATATACTGGACTACATACTGGCACCCTTACATATATGTTACAGTACATAAGAGCTTTGCAAAAATCAACATCTTATACAATCAACGTAAAAGACGGCTAGCCCAACCTTACAGGCAAACTATTATAGACACATTTGAAGATAAGACTGATATTGTCACATTGAATTATGATAATAAGTAAATGATATTTTTGTAATATTTTGCACCGGTATAACCAGTCCCAGTAGAATAAAACACAGGGTTACCCTAAATTGTAGAAACATGAATATGTTTCGTATAATTAATTAATTCATGTATCCCAAGGATTTCACCTGTTCCCTTCCTGCCCAAACCTTATTTTATTTTTGATTTCTTACAATGAAGTAAACTACTCTTTTTGACATCTTATCATTTTTATTTCCACATTATATTGACGTTAGACCTCAAATGATCAATGGGAAAACAATGCTAAACGTGCACACTGAAATATGTATTCCAACAGGCCTAGGAAAAGATGGCGAGAAAAATATGCTAAACGTCTACAGGTGAACAAACTATTCCAATAGCGTAGCGTCATATACGCATAACATGCAATGGTGTATTCTCAAAATTTAGAGAAAAAATGATTTTTTTATATTGGATTGCCCCAAACTTGAAAAAATGGCCAATAATTGACTTGATATTAGTCCATATTAGTTGGAACGCCCCAGAACTCCTCAAATGCAATTTCATTTTCAAATTTTCTTCGCTTCACTCACTCGTGGCGTACACTAAAAAAAAATACCCACGCTACGCCACCGTATTCCCCTTAAAAGTATTTAAAGGGTCAGATCACTAAATTCATGATTGTGTTGAAAAGCTGTTGAAAATGATGTGTTGAAGAATTCATATTGCTTATTACGAGTGATTATTTAGCATGTTACTGAATATCTCATCAAGTGACATAAACTACAGCAGCTGAAATAAGCATATCGAAATATTATAATTCGGTATGATTCGGAGAAGGGATTATACAGTTATAAGGGATTAGCAATTTATTTATTATCTTACAATTTAGCTCAATTCTTGAATTTGAAGATCTATTGCCATATTGTTTAAAATGCATTATAATCGATCGATCTGATGGTAAGAACTAATATGTGATATGATCGATTTTACCTTTTTGTCATCATTGCTAAGGAATACAATAATACCATTCCAATTAATGATAACTCACTTATTGTATTACTTGTGCTTGATACACATGCTGGAAGATATTCTTTTAAAATAAGTAAACCATTACCAAAACTATGGTTACCCTGTAGTAGTGAGAGGCACATTAAAAATGAATATCACCCCTTCAATCTATTTTTACAGGTTTTTATGATTATTTCACATTTGTCTATATTTTGCGTAACCAGGATGGTAAATTTTCTTCATTTTTCTTCAAACATTTTGCCTTACCAATATTTATTATATCTGTCAATTTCAAGAAAATCGCACCGCTACGTTTGAAAAAATTCAAATTGTGTCGTTTTTCCAATTGAGCTCCATTATAAAAATGGAATTTTAAATTTCTACGTGGTGAAAAGTTGCTTATTGAGTAGTTCATTAATGTTATGGTGTTAAAAATTCAAAACAAAAAGGAATAAAGAAAAAATGCCACAGAGAAGTCTCAATAGAGTCTTTTTAATTTAATTGAACTCCTGTGATGCATCAGTGACGTAGACTTGCTGGTGCAAGTCTGCTTGACAGGGTTGGCACAGTATTAAGCGGTGTAAATTCTTGAATTTGAAGATCTATTGCCATATTGTTTAAAATGCATTATAATCGATCGATCTGATGGTAAGAACTAATATGTGTTATGATCGATTTTACCTTTTTGTCATCATTGCTAAGGAATACAATAATACCATTCCAATTAATGGTAACTCACTTATTGTATTACTTGTGCTTGATACACATGCTGGAAGATATTCTTTTAAAATAAGTAAACCATTACCAAAACTATGGTTACCCTGTAGTAGTGAGAGGCACATTAAAAATGAATATCACCCCTTCAATCTATTTTTACAGGTTTTTATGATTATTTCACATTTGTCTATATTTTGCGTAACCAGGATGATTAATTTTCTTCATTTTTCTTCAAACATTTTGCCTTACCAATATTTATTATATCTGTCAATTTCAAGAAAATCGCACCGCTACGTTTGAAAAAAATTCAAATTGTGTCGTTTTTCCAATTGAGCTCCATTATAAAAATGGAATTTTAAATTTCTACGTGGTGAAAAGTTGCTTATTGAGTAGTTCATTAATGTTATGGTGTTAAAAATTCAAAACAAAAAGGAATAAAGAAAAAATGCCACAGAGAAGTCTCAATAGAGTCTTTTTAATTTAATTGAACTCCTGTGATGCATCAGTGACGTAGACTTGCTGGTGCAAGTCTGCTTGACAGGGTTGGCACAGTATTAAGCGGTGTAAGTTCTCTTCGATGAGGTGATTTTGTTAAAAATATATGCAAACATGTAATTTGCATCACGGAGCTCATTGTTCTTTTTTGACATACCCGCGGGGAAGATGGCGTGAGCAAAATGCGCCGCGGGCAATTCAAAAAGCAGACCATATTATGACAAATCATGATCGAAATTCAAACTCATGACCCAACGATTAACTTTTTAATTACACATTGTCAAATGGCTTCGATGTTGGGCTCAAACTTAAGAAATATTTCAAATTATCTTCTTAAACACCTCGAGTATAGCATTTGTTTAGTTTCTCAAAAATATTATATATTACTAAATTGTAGGATTGAGTATGCAGCAGTACACATGGCAATGTGATCATATGTACCAATGGTTGTCTCATGCCGCAAATAAGACAGGTGGTGGTGCGAGATTCACAACTGTCCAAACTAACTGGTTAAGAGAACTGTTAGATCATCTGATTGAATCATTACAGGTTTGATTACAATCCCATATTTTCAAATACTGCGACGATGCATTTGATGAAACGCATCTGAGATAATGACTTTACCATCATATTGGACAGAGTTCTCGTATTGGACACGCCGGCGTAATACTTATGTTAATATATTTTTGGAAATATTCATTATATTCGTCATGATGTTCTGATAATCGTAGCTAACACACCGTTTCTTGGGTTTCATATAGTCAACGGTAAAACGCAGCGCCCATGGTTTCCCTCTTGGGTTAAGAAAGGAATATCGTCTAGCAACGGATCCAGAACGGACATACTTCCACGATGCTATCAACAAGTTAAAGACGGATCTACTCCCAGGACCATTTGGGACTACCAACAAATACGACACACTCGCGTCATTTCACCATGGAACTGTCGCAGTTGGGGCACATGGTGGGCCGGGCTTTTTGCCCTGGCATAGGATCTACTTGTTGATGTATGCGTTTAGTTATAAGCGTGCGGCATGTTGTATGAAGTATTAAATATTCGTTCAATATCGAAGAATAAACATGTCAAATAATAATTGCTTGTGACCAATTGATAACATCTAATATCTATGCTAATTAACTTAACAGGTATGAAATCGCGTTGAAGCAAAAAATACCGGCTGTTTCGTTACTTTATTGGGACTCAACCATTGAGCAAAGTATGGCAACACCTCATTTGTCCAATCTTTGGTCCCCTATGTTCATGGGAAACGGTGATGGTGACGTTGTAGAAGGTCCCTTTGCAAACTGGGACGCAACAGATGGGGGAAAACTTTCACGCTCTGTTCAAACCTTTCCGAATCAACTCACAACTCCAGCAGACATAACGGCTGTACTGTCTGGAACCACATTTGCAGGAATATCGTAGGCATTTTGACTGCTTGACATATTTAATATACTGTTACA